ATGTTCCACTTATTTTGGTGGGTGAGTAAAAAAATTGCATTTTGTTCCATTCAGGTCTTGTCYTATCCCAATCTAATGTTGCGCCAAACATGTTTAGAGACAAGGTCTGTGTATATCTCTTTCTCTGACCCCACCTCTAGGGACGGACGAGACKAAGGYGGGCGGGTGAAAGAATTGTGGAAAGTTTTAGGGTTTTGATTTGATATGTACAGTGTAGAGGCAAGGTCTATGTATACCCCGGCCRGGAACCCACCTCCAGGTGGAATATACCGTTTACTATGGTCTGGTTATGATATATTAGATCAAAAAAGGGGCATAATTGGGATGCTTTTGTAGATTGAAAAGGTAAGAGCACATAARTGACGATTTTTAATTCCTAATTAAAGAAGAGTTTGTGTGTGCACTGTAAGATCCCACATCGATTGAGAGGGGAACTAAGGTTGCTTTRTAAGAGACTGGAAACCTCCACTACCAAATGCAACAATATATGGTAAGGTTGGCCTCGAATATTACAGATGGTATCAAAGTYGGAAGCWGGACTTGTGTGCCAACGAGGACGTTGGGTTCCCAAGKGGGTCTGCAGTGTAAGATCCCACATTGCTTAGGGAAGGGAACTAAGGTTGCCTTATAAGGGACTGGGACTGGAAACCTCCTCTACCAGACGTGTTTAAAATCGTGAGTCCAGGYGTGTGGACAAAATGGACAAYATTTGGTACGGTTGGCTTGGAATGTTACAGATGATACCATGGGACTGGAAACCTCCTCTACCAAACRTGTTTAAAACCGTGAGTCCARGTGTGTGGAGAAAGMGGACAATATATGCTATATGGTTGGCTTGGAATGTACAAATGGTATCATAGCCGGGAACCGGACTCGTGTGCCAGCAAGGACGTTGGGTTCCCAAGGGTGTGTGGACAAAGCTGACAATATCTGGTACGRTTGGCCTGGGATGTCACATGCACGAGACATGAGAGCAACAAGAACCCATCAGATTTTCCTTTGCATCCCGCACTTTAAGAAGGGCGATGAATCATTTGAAACAGATCATGTAAGAAAAYGGAAACACATGCTCACATTTGGATGATCAAATGAGGATTCTATTTCTCACCTTTATGACGAATGCCAAGTAGAAACAGCGACCAGGGTCAACAATCCAACGAAACCATAATTCACGATGCTGTCAACATCTTTGATACGTTGAACCTTCTCAACAATCATGTTCCACAAATCTGCATGAGGACAAGTTCCACTTTTTACCGCCTGCAGCATACATTTGTTACCCCTTCAGTCAACAAATGGGAGATAGAGTTAATACTCCCTCCATCCCAAAATAAATGTCCACATTTAATCTTAATTTGTCCCAAAAGATTTTTTTTTTGGTATGAAAGATGCACATATTAAACTTTGAGTGGTGCTCCAGGATATTAGAAAATACAAGGGACATCAACCAGAAAACTGAAAAAGTAACTCGAGATCAACCAAAAAAACCRAAAAAATCTCTCGAAATCAACCAAAAAACTTAAAAAAAAAACCTTGATCCACCTTAAAAATGCACCCCCTCAGCAACAATCATGGGGCCCCGGCTGAATAAAATTGTCATTTATAGAATTAAAAATTGTAATAATTWARCATTTCTAAAACCGTGTCTTTTTCATTGTAGACATTTATTTTAAGACAGATGGAATCGATTTCGTCTTAAGCAAAATCATGGACACTTACCTTTATCCCTGGATGATCAACTTGTTTCTCGGGATCTGAACTAGTTGTTATACTTTTGGCATCCCTATCATAAGATTGATCAGACGACACCTCGAACTTGGCCCGATTGCTGTCTTTACCYGACACGCCTCTGTAAGCAGAACCAGTGTGGATCGTTTCCATGACGGAACCAAAGAAATTTGTAACGGGTACCTGATGAGCGGACAGATGAAAGTCGATTACATATTCCTGAGTGCAGAGTTTTGAAATTAATTGCAATTAGCTTGGCAAATTCCCACTTCGGTTGGAAACATTTAATTGACATACTAGGGAGAAAGAAAGGTTYTAATTTTTGAAAGTACCCCCTCCGTCCTAAAATAAGTGTCCACGTTTCTATTTTAGTTTGTACCAAAATAAGTCTTCACTTTCAAAAGTAATTGCCTACTTTCCAATTCTACCCTTAATTATGAGAGGCAGGAATTCATTACCCCCTCTACTATTTAGAGTAAAATTGTCATTTAATTACTTAAAAAGTGTAACAATTACATATTTCTAAAATTGTATGCATTTTTTTATTGTGGACTTGGGACAGGAGTATAAAGAACGGCAACACTGAAATAAATTCAGAACTTCAGGTAATAATTTATCTGCTAATCTGGAGTGTGAGTAGGGGTGTAAACGAGTTGAGCTTTTAACGAGCTACTCGAGCTCGAGATTAATAATTATCGAGCTCGAGTCGATCTCGAACACAAAATAAAGCTTGCTTAACTTAGCGAGTCAAGCTCCATAGCACCAATTTTTGACTCGACTTGTTCGAAAGCTCAATTAAACTTTATGAGCCGAGCCGAGCCACTCGCGGATACACTTTTTCAAGTCAACATATTTATATGTTTACAAATTATTTAATAAAAAATATAAAATCATCGAGCTTGAGCAAATGAACGTGTTAATGTATCTCGAATTCAAGCTCATAAACAAGCACCAAGTTCCAGCTCAAACATTGAAAAATTATTTGAGCTCGAGCCTGATATTAATTTTTCAAGCCGAGCTCAAATAACCTGCGACTGGAATCTCCTCGGGTCGTTTACACCCCTAAGCATGAGGATAGAGAAGGATCCTCTTTCACAAAAAAAAGTGTGAAATCAGATGAAAAATCACACATCTACAACCTACTACCTTCTCCATTTGTTGTTGATATAGATCTGTTCGATAATATGCCGTTGACAGCAACAAATTTGGATTGTACGAGCTAAACAGACTGAAAACAAYAAAAAATGAAATAAGCATAGGCCAAGATAGCTGTATAGAGCTTTCATAATTCTACATTTTTCCATACCTGCTTAATGATGCATTGTCATACATATTGAGCCTCTCAAAGAAAGCTAATGTATAAAATGTGAATCGATCTACAACAGAAACACCGACCTGTATCACAATAAGTACTATAAGATTAGAGAGAGAGAAGTTAAATATCTAAAAGTTCCGCTCTATAGCAAAATATAAACTTTTTGACTTGTTAAAAGCCAGGGACCAGATCATACTCACATCAGAATCCAAGTGRTGTGAATATGAGTTTTCCCCTTTCATGCTACTTCCAATAGCCAAAACACCAGGTGAATGGAGCTGAAAAAGAAACAATCGAACCGTAGTTAATCCTCAGACAATAAGAATCGACCCTTGTAAATAAGGAACATGACATGTGTTTCTTTAGTAACAGCAAGATTGAAGAACTTACTGCATATTGGACATGCATGCAGCATCATCTAACGCCCAAAAGCATATTAATATTAATATTAATTTTACATATATATATATATATATATATATAGAGAGAGAGAGAGAGGGAGGGAGGGAGGTTCAGGGTAAAACCCCAAAAATTGAATAACTGAGGAACACCCTAATAACCGTTCATATCTGAAGGTATGCATATGTGCATACAAGTGATTTGTAAGTAATCTTCCCGGTATGCACACGTGCATAAAAACCAGGAAGCATGTGCATACTGGAAACATTACTTACAAATTACTTGTATGTACATGTACATATTGTACAGATGAATGGTACTAGGGTGTAGATAAATCTATACATTTGACAACCAAGTACATTGCTATCATGTAGATAAATCTATGCCACATATTGGATCTTTGAGGCACTCTCTTCCAAAAGTGTCATTGCAATACATTTTGCAGTTGGCTTTTAATTTCTATCATTCATACATTAGTCTTTAGGAGAATGCTATTGATGTAGCTAGAGATGCACAAGGCCCTAGACCGGTCTTCCAAGCCCGTTTTAGTAAGCAAAAAAAACAGGCCTCCAAAAGGGCGGACCAGGCAGGGTTTTGGGTGTGAAAATGGGCCCGATTAGGATTTTTCAAGCTAGACTTTAACCGGGACTTGAAAACAATATTTGGCCAGATCASGCTTTTTGGCCCGGCCTGGGCCCGGGCTACTACGACCAGGCTTTTTCAGGCCGGGCACGGGCTTTTTTGTGCATCTGTAGATGTAGCACTGTTCAAAAGTCTATTTCTTAGTCTTAAGTCTTAACATCTTAGAAAATCCGTGTGGGACATGCCCTTAACAATARTTTCTAGATCATAAGCACACACGCTATCATATTCAAGCTGTTCAAAGCAGAATGATTTCCAGTAGTAAGACCAACTCAAACTATACCAAGGCTAYAGAACACCAACAATTGGTGGATAGTTTAACTTGTGAAATATCTAAGTCTGTAAGGAAAGGACTCGGACCTGGGAAAAGAGTGTAGCAGCTTGACAAGTATCTACCATAATCAGCAGTTCCTTGAACCTACACATGAAAACAGAAAAGAACCCTGTAAATCATCATTCTACAGCCAATGCTAAACGAGATGGCACTCTGCACTCAAATGGGTTCAACATATTTTTATGATGGCATAGAGACAATTATGAGTGCTGGTAGTTTAGAAGCACAGGTTAGCTTCAGAGCAATCAAATTCAATGTCATGTCAATACCTGAATATATATATATATACACACACACACATATATATATATATATGTACGTATGTAACCTTTATGTGCTAAAAAGTTATTGTTCTTTCAACACCACTAGAAGTCGTCATATTAATATCACTTCCTCCATTAAAATGTGAAACACCAACCATACAGGAGTCTGGCAGAACACAATATAGTCTTACTCTCACCTACGCTTTTCTTTCATTTGTTTGACTGCATCAGCCAAATCATGGCTCTGAAGTTCATCCGCGTCCTGAAATTTCAGAAACTCGTCTCCTCCATGTCCGGTCATGTATAGCAGTATGTGGCTTCCTTCATCGCTCAAAAGACGCTTGGATCTCGGTACGGCATTTTCATGACGCCCCGTTAAAACTCGCAAAAAGTTTTCAACTGTCACTTCATAACCTCGATAGTCTACCTGATATGGCAGCGTCCAAAAATTAGCTCAGCTTCTAATTCGGACAACATAGGAAACCCATGAAAATGGCTATGCAAAGAAGGCAAAGGCTGTTAAATTCATTGGATACAAAGTTCACCTCAACATTATCACCATACAAATTAAGCCTATGGTTTTCATTATTGAAAACTTGTGCAGGGTACTTGTTCCGAGCATTGCAAGCCATATCATCAGCTAACATAAGAATGATCCTCTCATCAGGTATCCCTAGTCGTTTCACAGTCCTAATGAGAAGACCAAGGAAAAGAATGACAGACATTACAATATCTTCATATACAAGTGCACCAATAGGCTGTGAATTATAAAGTCAAAACAAAAAATAAGATTATAATGAAACACCACATACCTATACAAGGATAAAGTGTTTGCCATATGCCGATAATTAAACCTACAAAATAATGACACTTTGTTAATTCAAAAAGGTTAGAGTGCAAAATCACGTAGCACATCTGCAAATGGGTAGCAACATTAACTATCAGGCTTATTGCTGGCAATGTGTTGAAGATGATTCTATGCAAAGAACCGATTCTAATGACTGAAATATCAAATACGTATGGCACATGTCTGCATCCTAAAGGATCCAGCAAGTATTGARGTTGAAGTCAATGTGATATAATTGATGCTTATGATTCTGATTCTGTAAATAGGAATGTTTTTTTAWGTGGAGATTTGCCACCTCATCTATATATTGGTACTCAAGCCATGCTACTAGGGCACCTAGAGTGCATTTAGAATTTGAAGTCAATACAAGTTTTCAATACCCCTTCCTCGGACCAAGAGRTTTTGACTATGAGCCCGTTTAGAAATCGAGGCTCGGGACGGGGTGGATGGTTCTCCCCTCTGCTTCCAGGCAATGGGACTAAACCTAAAGTATCTTATCTTCTCCACTTCTAGCTTACRTTTGAGTTTCCTCTGACTACTAGGTAATTTCTCAGCTGGCAGTTAAATTTTTTCGAAATATAAGATWTTTTGATATGCTGATATTTCCTCCAAGTTATCACTTGAAATTACAATTAACACTACCTTAGATTGATTTATCATATTCAAAGGTTGATTAAACTTGAAGGCCATACCGCATAGACRAACTCTTCCAATGTCAGTGTATCAGCAAATCRGAGCAATRGTAAGGGACTGTTTATTAGCAGCTTGATGAGCTTAATGGGATTCATAACTTATTCGATCAGCTATACATGACTGTTAAGCATTGGCTTACTGATATAGAAAGTGACTTATTCAGTAAGCTTCTGGGGGAGTTTTCCTTTCTCTCCCAATTAAAAAACATGCTCCTTCCATCCATGAAAAACCCCTTCCAAACAAAAACCTTTCCAATCTATACACACAGATTAATCCACACTGACAGCTTTATCCATACAGGGTATCGTTATACTTGCATTACCCCATACAGGGGGAGTTTAATGAAAAACCAATCAAACTACCCCTAAGAGCTACACATAGCTATTGCAGGGTATCGTTATACTTGCATTACCATTTTTTGGTGAACCAAAAAATACAAGTTGTGATCCTTATGCTACTCCTGTCCCGAAATAGAGGCAAACTGTTGACCAGAACATAGTTCACAGGAAGGTTTCTAACTATTAGTTAAATACTTAATTTAATTTTCAATCATGATGAAACAGGGCCAAAGTATATGATATCAGTATTATCTAATGGTCGTCAATGGAATTATGAGCTAGATTTCTGTTCAAATTTCAAAGGGGGACCTTAAAATCAATTTGGGGCATTGATCCCCATTGCTGGACACAGACACATAATTTGATTCCTGTGTCTTACTACCTAAAGCACCTCTATGTCYAATTCCATAAATTCTGCTATCAATGGAACTCCTAAATTTAGTACCAATTTCAAGTTTCATCTTCCATTACTGCAAGAATGGGGACAAAACAGCAAACCATAGTAYACATTCAACGTGGTAAACTCGCAACCAAATGAGTCCCGTACCGCAACCTAACCATATTAATCGAGAAATCACAATGGACAGAAACTTCAAAAAAGATTGAAAACTACCAGAAGCGAGAGGTGCAAACCAAGACGGCCCAATTGTTAGTGTGCACCGAAGAAGAATCCGACGAAGCAGCATGAGAGAAATGAACAAATGAACACGAAAGTGATACTGTAATCACTGTTATAATTGTTAATATGAAYCTACTGAAAAAGTTGTCTCTCTTTCGATTCATCATCTTCTGCACGATCTATTCCAGTTTCCAGAATCTTTACTTCACCTGAAACACACCAAAATTCAGCTACTCGCTAGCGATTCTGTCGATAATCAACAAATTTTGGAAGTAGATCTCGGTGAGCTTTGATTTGAGAAGTAGATTGAACACCCCATTTTTTTYCTTCAAATCTAGGTACGATGATTTCCTTTTCCTTTTTCTAATAAAATCATTTTATATTTTTGCTCATTGTTTGGTTTTCATACATCAAAAATTGGTATGGTCTTCAATTATAGTCTCATTTATCATTTAATCATCAATTGTTGACMGRGAGGCACSGGATACAAAATCATTCARAGAGTYTTAAAACCATTAAAARTTTARTCAAAAGTGAAAYAATGATMTTTGTTTTATTTTGTTTTGTCATGTTCAGTACTAAACACATCCTCAAGATTACTTACAAGCTCGATCTAGATCTTCAAGTCAGTCAAGTAAAAGATTTCAAACCTACGATCAAATAAAGATGACCAGACTCTGTCCAAACCCCACATGAAGGTCCGAATGTCGTGACTTGGTTAATTTCGAACCCGTATTAGTCATGCATTTTTACCAATGGTCAACCGATCGTAACGTGCTACTCATCACACTATGCATATCGTCGCCACCATCGTGTCTCCCCACCTCATCCATCCATGACACATTTTATTTATTTGAAGACAAAAACAAACTGTGGTTTTTTCATTGTTGTCACTTGAACCAGATATGTTGACATTTACGTAATTTGTTACGTTGCATTTAATAGACCAGGGTTTGTGAATCATTTGTAACCAAACTTATAGGAACCAAACCATTGACCATTTTGTATCGATCATTTATATCTGCAGTCTTATCCATACATACAACGTATTCTATATAGAYCAGAACAATCTGATGTGTACAAAAATATAGAGAAAAAAGAACCGTACAACCACATGTTAGCTTTATCACCTTAACAACACGGTCTCATGAGTGACAATCTTGTATCAGATCAAACCAGTCAACATGTACACTAATCATACCAATTACAATATAGTTGGTTGGCAGTACTATATAAACTTATAAAGCATGCAAAACTGGTTGGTATATAGTACTTGAAGTCATATATCACTAGGGCTGTAAAAGCATGCAAACGGGGGCTTGTCCCTATTCGTTCGTTTAACTTAACCGAACAAACGAATGAACATGAACGGTAAATAGACGAAGTTTTTTCTTGTGTTCATGTTCTTTCGTTATGAGTTTATTCGTGTTCGGTTATGTTCGTTCATTAAGGTACTAAACGAATATGAATGAACGAACGTAACCGAATAACACGATTATACTAAAAGCAACCGTTGTTATTTTTCATTTTGTTCCTAAGAAAATAACATAATAAAAAACTGGGTAAGTAAGACAGATAAACAAAAAATTCTAAAATTTTAATTTAATTAATTATTTCACATATTAGTRGCATGATATATAAATATATACTAGTTGTGTACCCGCGCAATGCGGWGGAAGCCATGAATTTTAACGATTTTGAAGTTCCACTGGTTTTATAAGATAAGATTTGACGATGATATATGTTACACTTGGTTTTTACATATTAATACAATTTTAAAATCCAATATATTTAAAATCCAACATATTTAGACGACTCCACAAATGTGTTTGATTTACACCAAGAGCAAAGAACCAAGAAACTTGAGTTTTAAGATAAACACTTAAAACCAATAAAGAAAACTACAAATTTAACAGATGATAAGCCATTAAAAGACCAAAAAAGATGGGTTTTAGAATGAAATTTCAACTGCTTACCCTCTTTATTGTCTAAAAACTCAGATTAAGGTTAAATTAATACATGCATATATATATTTCAAAAAAACCCAAGAACATATTAATTCATAACATATTATACAGTGCAATTTGAACAGCCTAACCCCAAAATATATAGTATATATATATATATATAAATAAATAACTATAAAAGTATAAATTGTAAATATTAAAAAAAAATTTTTTACAGTATATATAATATATAATAATATAATTAAGTCAAAAACTATTYAATATTGGACTCATTTCGAAGGTATTAACGAGACGATTATAATGGTATAACTTGTTAAAATAAAAATGTATTTTTTAAACATGTTTTAATTGATATACGATTATGTATGTTAATTTGATAAAGATTTAAAATAAAACATTTAAAAATAAAAGACGTAAAGTAAATTAATTAATTATTTATAGGGGTATGAAGTATAAATTTAAAATTATAGTTTTAGAAAAATGATTGCGAGAGGGTGAGTGTATGTGAGGGGATGAGTGTATGTGAAGAGAGGAGAAGGTGAAAAAGTGAGGTAAGATAATATAAAGGGTATTTTGGTCATTTAGTATTTTAAGACTTTAAGACTTTTGCAAAATTTGCTTAATAAGATAGTATAAATATAGATAAGCGAACATTTATATTTATTAAAGAGTAAATTACGTTTTTAGTCCTTGTAGTTTGTTTAAATTCTTATTTTTGTTCTTGTGRTTTTAAAATTATGATTTTCATCCTCATAGTTTATAATTCATATCCTTTTTCGTTCTCATGATTAAAAATTTATTGCTTTTTTCGTTCATGTGGTTTACAATTCATTTAAATTTTAGTCCATAATCCTCAAAGAAGTGTTTCACCGTAGGGACGAAAAACATATTTTACTCTTTATTAAATAAGCGAACTTTCTACCGAACAGTTCACGAACGATTTGCTAAATGTTCAGTTTGTTTACAACTCTATGCATGAGAGTATGACCATGATACCCACTTCTTTAATTRTTTACTATATACCGACCAAAAAACTGGTACCAGTTTCGTAGGTACAAACTACAATCGATCAGTACAACAGATTATAGTCTACGTACCAATTATAATTGACTAATACACAATACTAATATGGTACTGTACAAAATCTATTTGTAAGGGTGCCAAAAATCATATTGGATTTGGATGAGAAAACCAAGCATCGAATTTTGGCTTCAAAATTTATGATTAGTTCGGGTTGGGGTCGGTCGATTTTGGGTACAGTCATATTCAAAAGATATATACATTTAATCCATTTCGAGGATAAATTCAATCAATTAAAAGGATTGATAAGATCGATAGTAGATTTAGTATTTAGGAAAAAGTACGCCCAACTAGGAGTTATAATTTAAGAGGATAATTATTTATACCATATTATAAAGCATCTGACAAACATTATTAAAAACAATTTTTATGCATGAAGTACTGTTTATTGCTGCATATTACTTAAAATTTAAGATTACAAGTAACTTGTGCGTAAATACAACTTGTTAAAGCTTCATGTTTGAATTCGTGTAACTAAATGTAGATAAACATAATCAAATAGAAGATAAATATCTCATTTTAAACATAAAAGATCTAAAATATAATCAGGATAATCATTTAGTTATAATAAAATACTTAATTATTATCTTTAMAAAAAATATATTATTAAACCAAAAATAAAAATACGAATTACAGAAATACACAAAAAAGCGGAATTTTAAATAGTTAGTTTGATATTAATATCATTATTTTTCACTTTTGTATAATAAATCTTCATATTTATATTTTATTCAAAAATAAAAAAATTATCCTTTTGTCAAAACCACATAAACTCGTATTATAACATCAACTGAGACAAAAAAATAAAACGAAACATTAAAATCGAGATGCATCTCGCTGCATTGTACGAGTACCCCCATAGTATAAATAAATATATTTATATAATATCTAAAAATCATCTACGTATATATTTTTCAGGTTTTCAGACGTGTCAGGTGGCCAAAAATCAAACCAACCAAAACCGAAATATCCCCCAAAAGTTACGTTTAAGATGTTCGGATTCTCGAACATTCGGGTTTTGAACATCATTTTCAATTGAAGTTCGATTCGGACCATTCGAGTTTTGCACACCCTGCTTTATCCATATCGGAATTATAGAAATAAACGACGATGTAAAATCATGTAAATTATAGGGACAATTTTGTAAAAACCTCAATTTGGGCCCATGAAATTACTAATTGGGCTTTCAGCCCAGGCCCGGCCCAAATTGCTCACCTCTTTGCTAAACCCTAACCCTGCAACCCTAATTCTTATATACACACTTCGTCTCTCACAGAGCAAAAAGGGTGAGGCGCAGGGAGAGAGAAATCTATCGAGAGCTAAAACAATGGTGAACGGATCGGGAATTTGCGCACGGGAGGTGGTGGTTGACGCCCGCCACCATATGCTCGGCCGATTGTCGTCTATTTTGGCCAAGGAGCTTCTTAATGGACAGCGAGTTACCGTTGTTCGTTGCGAAGAGATCTGCCTTTCCGGTGGTCTTGTTCGTCAGAAGATGAAGTACCTTCGTTTTCTCCGTAAGCGTATGAACACCAAGCCGTCTCACGGACCAATTCATTTCCGTGCTCCTTCCAAGATCTTATGGCGTACCATCAGAGGGTAAACCTTAATTGTTTTCATAAACTCACAATCACACACATGAGTATGTTTTGATCATATCAATACAACGTCAATACTTGTAGATTAGGTGCGGATTTTGTACATATAAGCACATTGTCTTTATCTGTTAACGTTTGCAAACCAACCTCTACATATCTTTGAATTGATTTTTTCCGCGTGTATAAAAGTGATTTACATATCGTATCTATGTGCTTTTGCAAAGTATCATAAATGTTCGGTACTTTCATTGCATATTACTGTGTCACTGCAAATGGTTTAAAATGCCCATTGATTATAGGATGATTCCACACAAGACCAAGCGTGGAGCTGCTGCACTAGCCAGGTTGAAAGTTTATGAGGGAGTCCCTACTCCTTACAACAGGAAGAAGAGGATGGTTATCCCTGACGCACTCAAGTGAGCTATTCTTTTTAACATGATTGTGTCTCTTTTTGATGTTATTTGAATTGGGCTACACATGAAATATCACCTTTGTATGTATCAAACTATTAAATTGAACTGGATGCCAGTATTTTTTTTTCATTTTATTGATACCATGCTTATACAAATGCAGGGTTTTGAGGCTTACTGCTGGACACAAGTACTGCTTGCTTGGTCGCCTCTCATCTGAAGTTGGATGGAATCACTATGAGACCATCAAGGTACATCTTTATCATGGATTTCAGATGTTTTTTGCTTTGTATAAATCTTTAACACTGTTTTCATACAATTTGCTTGCTATACTAAGTGACATTGCTCTGCTTGGTCTTGTTATATTGATCATATGATAGTGCATAATGCAATTTATTATTCTTAGCAAACATAAAGTTATCAGATAGCGGTATCTATGTGCTAATCTTCTAAGATAATTCAACCATCTTTCTGAAAAGTATTGATTTCCATTTGGTAGAGGCTTGTCTTAGTTTTATTGTGGAGTTCTTTTCTCTAATTTCTGTAAACAATGATGTTTCAAAGACACCAATAAATCATGTATCTGAAAAAGATTGTTTTTTTTAATTTAGCATGCACATCAAAATCGTTTTTGCTCTTGATTGGTAATGCTTTTAAGATAACATATTGGTATACCAACACAATTCTTTTCATTTATACATAAACTGTCTTTCCATACACTTAAAGATCATCCTTTTGTAGCTTCTACTCTTAATTATGAGATGGGTACCATTGTCATTTAATAAAAAGATGTAAAAACTACACATTTGGGAAGGAGGGAAGTAATTGTTAATGTTCTATTTGCAGGATCTCGAGAAGAAGAGAAAAGAAAAGGCCCAGGTTGTGTATGAAAGGAAGAAACAGCTTAACAAGCTGCGAGCCAAGGCCGAGAAGGCTGCAGAGGAGAAACTTGGTCCCCAACTCGACATCCTTGCTCCGGTTACCTACTAAAGGTTTTAAATTTTGTGTCTTGCTAGAGATATTGTTTTTTGATGATGGCAAATTCTTCTTATATTTCACTTTTGCAATACACTCAGATGTTGATTTGGTGTCTTGATTTTGTTGTGAGAAGATTACTTTTTTAGCTTCTTGGGTAATCTCTTGTGATGCCTGCTCTTTTACTTTTTTATGCATTTCTCATTTTGACATCTGGGGCTTGATGTTATGTTGGGATGGGATTTAGGTCTTGTTTGTTAGCAGCTTAATGAGTCTCACAATCTATTTCGTTAGCTATACATATCTGTTTGGTAATAGCTTAATGATATAAAAGATGACTTATTCAACAAGCTTTATGTAAAAAACCAAGTTTTGTCTTAAACCTGCTCTCTCTCGATTAAAACACACACACACCCCTCTTTCATTAATGAAAATACCCTCCTGAACAAAATCTTCTTTGTCTATATAGACAAATTAATTCATACAGACAGTTTTATTCGTGCATATGACTTGATGGAAAACTAACCAAAAAGACCCTTAGTGGGACAAGAATGTTCAAGTAGATTGGATAATATTGGGAAATTAACAAGTTACTTATGTCAGTTTAAAACTTGATTGCTTCACGTTCTGTTTTGTTTAGTCTTTGTCTGTATACCAAATCTATCCTTAGGTAGTGTTCGGTGCATCGATTGGATGGGATTGAACACTGTGTTTGGTATGACTAGAACAAAAAACTCTAGAATCGTTAAAATGGCTGGTTATCTCTATAATATTGCAAGTACTTTTATGGATCTTGCTAGAACAAAATCTTGCTACATGTGTTGGGGCWCGTTTGTTAGCCGCTTAATGAGATTTTAAGTCTTGTCTTGTTAGTTAAATATTGTTTAGTAACGAGTCAATGATATAGAAAATGGTTTATTCTATAAGCATTTAAGATGAAGTTTTATGTAAAAAGTCAATTTTTTAAACACGTTTCTTTTGTCTATGAAAAAWTCATCTCAAACAAAAACATTTTTCTTAATTTATACAAATAGATTAATTCATGTAGACAACTTTATTCATTCATGACTTGATGAAAAACCAATCAAATGGTTTCTTAATTGTTGTGTTGTTAAACTAAATGGTCCAATTTAGAGGGGTTTGGTTTGATGGAATGATTTGGAAGAATTTGGATTTGGAAGGATTTAGAATGTTTGCTGTGTTTGGTTTTAACAAATTATAAATAATTATTAATTGATTATTGGAAAACAAACGTTTTTAATATATTTTAAAACATAATTATATACAAATCTTCCGAAATCCCTTGAAATCCTGACTATCCCCACGGGATTTCAAAATCCTATATGTTTGAGGGATTTCAGATCCGAGCTATTACACAAATGAAGCACGTGATTGAAATGGATCTGAATTCCAAATCCCACAAATTATTTCCATTCTTACAAACCAAATGGGAGTTGGTTAAATTGGGCCCGGGTTTGGCCCGTAACAAAGAGGAGAAAAGCCTGGTACCAATGAAGCCCAATCAAGGCTCATCGCTTACTGTTTTTTGAAGTGCTTTCGGTTAAGGGACCAGGCTTCTAGGCTCGTTTATGAAGGTCAGGCCTGACAAAATTTCAAAAAGTTCTAGCCGTAAGGTAATGATTATATAGTCGTCGGGGGACCATTTTGACATTTTTTAGCCTATTTGATCATCCAATAGTATATACTAATGTCCCAGAACGTTTGAAACATTATCGAACTTATAAATGCACAAACACTCAGATATTTTTTATGACTTGTGATTTCATCTCTTTTTTGCTTCGGCACTCAATATTTGCTATCAATCTTTAATCCGTATTCCAACAAAAGTTATCCACCTCGGATAATGTCAGCTACTTATCCATCACCAACAATCCCGTCGTCCAAGTCTTAACCGAGTATATCGGGCCCAAATTCGTTACACATTTTGTGTAAAAGATCAGTTTACGTTTAAAATATCTTTAACACGACCCTGTTAATAAGACCCAGTCCGAGCCCGCTTAGGCCCGAACTTGGCCCATCTCTAGTGCCATAGATGGATTGTAGAGCTTCATGAGGTTTTAATCCGGTTTGAACACAAATAAAATACCATTTTTAAAAATTTCATATTTAATATTTTCAAAATTCTAAATATTAAACCACAAAGATGGTGTCTGATTTGTTTGAGGTTGACTTCAAATGTCAAAAGTTTCAGGAGGTCCCATGTTCAAATCCAATGAGGAATAAAAATCCCTTTGTGGCTACGGAGGTTCAAATACCGTGACTCCAAGCTATCTGCAAAGTAAATGGTTGTCCTGAGATTAGTCGGCTCGCATGTTGGGTTGGATATCCAGGTTAATAAAAAAAAATCTAAATATTTAATAAAATAATAATAAATAAATTTAATAATTTACAAGTACTACGGACCAACAAGGAGCATATATTAGTTTGTGGTATAATGTGACGTACAAGTCAAAAGGGTTGGATTTATTTCAATTATTAGGCTTTAAAAAAATACAAAAAATAAACAATCAACATTCGTGCTACCCACTCTTTCTCTTCTTAATTTTTCTAAATTAATTGATGCTCATTTTTATATATTCGGTGGTGGATCTGAGATTTTTACTGAGTGGTGCATATTTAAGATAGATTAAAGGTCTGTAAAATCGTTCGATGTATTTTCAGTTGAATTCCATCTTTTTAAGGTATTTCTTTTAACGTTTTTTTGATTAATTTCGAGAGATTTTTTTTAAGGTTTTTAGTCGATTTCGAGAGATTTATTCTTTGGTTTTTTGGTTAATTTTTTTGATATTTCTAATGACAAATTCTATCCATGCCTCTTCTACTTTACGCTACTTTCTTGTCTCACATGATCCCAAGTGTGTGTGTGTGTGTGAACCACAAGAGTGGTGTCTGATTGGTTTGAGCTTGGCTCTAAAGGTCAAAAGTAGCAGGAGGTCCCATATTCAAATCCAAGAAGAAATAAAAATCTCTTTGTGGCCACGGAGATTGAAATGCGGCGACTCAGGGTTATCTGCAAAGCAGACAATCGCCCGGGGATTAGTTGGCTCGCATAGCGGTTTGGATATCCAGGTTAATAAAAAAAGAGTGTGTGTGTGTGTATAGTTGGGTTCACGTGAGACCGACCAGTTTTCGTGAGACCACATTTTTACACATGAAACTTCATAGCAAAATACTGGGAAAGTAACTTTCAAAGTGTTTTTGTTGTGAAAGTTCGACTTTTTTTTTTACCTTTACAACATTTTGTTATGAAGTTTCACGTGTAAAAATCATGTCTCACGTGAACGCAACTCTATACACACACACACACACACACACACACACACACACACACAGAGAGGATCAGGTTTAGAGCAAAACTGGAAAACCATGAAAAAACGGATGAAAAGTATATGAATATGGATGTCAAACTAACGACAAAAATATTATTGTTATTTTTGTGTAATTTGTTTCGTTCGAATTTTGATCWTATTTCGTATTCTTTTTTTGTAAAAAAAAAAGGGGGTTGAAGATTTTTTAATATAGAAATAAAATTGTAACCGTCTCTTTTTTCACATCTATTGGATCGATTAATCTAACCGTTGATCAATTGTTTTTTTTTTAAATTTTAAGGTTTTTTTCATATATATATATATATATATATATATATATATAGTATGTTTCAAATGCAACTAATCACATTTGTACAACCAATGCAAACTAACCAATTGAGATATTTATGAAAATGATAAGAGTTCATTTATTATGATTTGAATATTTGTAGAAGATGACTAGAGTTCATTACTTATGATCAATATTTTATATTAGAAAACAATCTAAACTTTTATGAAATCACATATTTATCAACTTAAATGGACGATTGAGATTGAATTGTATTAATTATACAAATATAAAAGATTGTATAATAATCAACCTCTCTCTGATATATATATATATATATGGTAGAAGGAAAATTAGGTATTCAAATGACTTGATGCTCCCCATACCTAATGTATGATGACAAATGGTATGCATRAGAAGTAAAGAACAACATAACATGATGGTTTGACCAATACCATGTGTATGGAATAAGTTTAGCAGGCTTTTCTTTTCTTTTATTATTTATTTATATAATCATCCCCCTTCTTGTCCTTTTTTTCTACATTATCTCAAAATCAACATAATTAAATAACAAGATTTGACACTTAGAAACCACTAATAGCATGGTTAAAGTTTGTAACTTATAGTTCTTGAAAGGTTCCTATAATCTGGTTTTCAAAGTATCATGTGAAAGRCAAATCAGATACGTCACAACCTGTCAGGTGGCTGACTTAATACACGAATTCCCACAAAAAGCCCAATCCTTAATTGCATGTTGTAACCCCCACAATGCACCTGTCAGACTTGGATCCAGGGACGGATCTATAGTGGTGCATAATGTGGCACGTGCCACCATATTATTTCTCTGTCGAAAGATATAAAATTTAGGTCTGTGAAAGACGCAACCTTAAAAAATCATTCGAAACGATGGAATTCTGCTAAAAAATAAATTAGATGACTTTGCAAGGTTTTGATCAACGTTAAATATGCATTCATCCGGCAAAAATCTTAGGTCTTCCACCGGACAATACTGATAAGTATTCTCTCAAATTTTAAGTGCTATAAATTATAAAACTTTTGAATCATGAAAAATCATTTTTTATAAAGTTAAGGGACTGTTTTTGGTAATTATAAACTACGAGGGGTGTAAATGTAACATTTGAAATGGGAAGACAACCCCCCCTACGCGCTTTTTGGGACATTCCATTCAACCTCCATTTACGGCGCATGTTTCACGGACGTTCAAATTGACGGCAAAGACGGKGCAATTTTTAACGGCAAAGTGCCCTCCAAAACGCAAACACTCGTTTCCTGATGAAATAAATGCTCCCAATTTCAGGGAACCATTTTTATTTTATGTTTTTATTTAAAATRATTCTTAAATATTTAAAAATATATTGCTGCCATTTACGCCAAATTGACGTTGCTTATCAGGTCTCAAACAAATAAAACAGTTTTAATGAAAATTAAAAAAATAATATAACTGTAAACAATTAGGGTTGTAAACGTACCGAACGTTCAACGAACTGCTCGACGAGAAGTTCGTTTATGTTCATT